ACAAATACGTAACCGAACGAAGTACTGATGCCTACGCCGCTGGAGTCGATGGTAACCTTAGATATGCCTGGTGCAGGTTCAATGATAACTCCATGATATGGCTGGCCTGCGGTATCGTTAAGATCCACACGCGTTCCAATAGGGCATGAAGTACCATCAATCTGAATCCATCGGTTTCCTTGTGCTAGAGCATCAATGATTGCTGGACCATTATCGGATTCAGGATCAGGGGTAATAACGTAAGGGGTGCTTGGATAGATACTCATTTTTTCCTCTATTACAGTAAGATTACAGAGGAAATATATCAAAACAAAACTAACAAACCAACAAGAAAATCACAAAAAAATAACATCCTTTAGAAACTAAAAAAAGGCCCCACTCACATCGTGAGCAGGGCCTAACATGAAGCTTGGAAAGTCAGCCCTCTATCTTCGACCATTTCAAAATATAGTTGCCAACACTCCCTTCATTTCCATCGATCGCAATTGAGTAAGTGAAACCCTTCTCTGCTTTAAACTCTCCATAGCTTGTAATTTCAAAGTCGGATTTGTCGTTATTCGATGCTGCAACTGGCATTGAGTCCATACTAGTGCTTGCGTATACGGCCAAAACAGTGTCGAAATCTGAGCCAGTCGTCTCGAAAGCGTACGTTCCGCTTTCTGGTGCTGTCCACCTACACCAGACCGAATTATAAGGTTTAGAAAACGGTATGTGCCCTAACTCACCCAATTGGTTAGATGCACCTTTATTACTACCCAAAACCTTTCCGCCCCCCGCTGATGACTGTTGCAGATGAGAAATTACTTGCACAGCTTGCGGGCAGCTTGACGTCATAAGTAAACACGTACAATGCAGACCCTACGCCAACTAAAAAAACTAAGAAAGAACTCGCAAAAATATAACCTGGCACATCATGCTGCTTTTTCACCTTCTGGCCTATAACCTTGCGCTCACTGCCATCGAAAAACCTCTTGCAGAGATCGCTAACGGGCATTTCTATAAAGCGCCAAAACACATACGCCAAGGGAGTTATAAACAAGATGCTAACAATAGTCAAAATTACAGCAACTAGCGCGCTTGGAATCCCCCAACCGACAAGGTATCCAATCACTATTGGTGCGATGCCTGTGGAATCTTGCTGAGACCACATAAACATGAGTGTGATCGGATGAAGCAAATATAGACTAAATGAAATCCTACCAAAAAACGTTAATACGTTTGAGTTAAGAAAGTTCGCAGAGCGAACACTACCAAATGCAAGAACTGCAACAATGATAGCCGCAGCAGCAGACTGAACAATGATAGCGACCGAAATAACGGTACTTCTGTACGGAATTGGATTTTGCGTTCCGACGATAACAGGCACAGCAAAAAAGAAAACCGCGATACCAATTAGAAGAAGTGCACCCCGCCACTTCACAAAATCCACAAAATCCTTACCATAAAGAAAAGCAAGCGATCCGAAAAGAAATGCGTGCAGGTAGGCCGTCCTTGACCAGGTCGTTCCGAACGGATCGTACTCATACCAAAACTTAAATAGTGACAGCATCGCTAGCAATCCACACATCGCCAGCATGCTTCGCCGACCAGCAATGGACACTACTGACATAGCCAATAGAATAACAACGCTACCAATCAGTTCTGTTTGCAGAGTCCACATTACCCCATTGATAGAAACATCAAGCAATAGGGCATTATGAAAGACATCGTTAACAGAAAAATCACCAGATAGTCGCAATCCGAAAACTGAGTTCAGAAACCAAAACAAAAGAACAGTAGCAATTGCCGCCGGGTATATCCTGAACACCCTTCTAACAACAAATTCTAACGAAAGCTTTGTCGTAACACCGCTTCTTTGAAGAGAGTAGCTAAGGACAAACCCACTTAGCACAAAGAAAAAAAGAACCGGGGGCGATATGGGCCCTCCAGCTGCAAAAATACTATATATATAAGACAACCAATAATCTAACCCTGAGGATTGATCAGTTGAGCTTATTAGCTGATCTCGAACACCGTACCTGGTTAGGTACATTGATTGTCCTACATGGAATGCAGCGACTAGTATTGCTGCCAAGCCACGCGCCGACTCTAGAGGCGCAAAAAACAACTGCTTCTTCTCGCTCATAAATACTCATGAAATTGCGTCAAAGTAGACACATGAAGTTTTTTTTCGCGAAAATGAGTCATATTGCTTGACCTCCATGTCCGCCATAGCCCTTTTAAACACAGGGTCTGGCGATATTACCATGATGACGGTATTCGGCCATACAATTGCTATCATTCAGATACATTTCTATCGGCACGAGCCGACCATAGCAACAAGCTCTGCTTCGTAAGCGATCCGTTGTCGACGCTCTGCCAGCAACGCGCGCACTTTCAGCTCCAGACCGTCAGTCTTCTTCAAGGCAGTGGTGGCCCAAGGCGGAGCCGCCACTACTTTCGTATTGCAGGGCACCAGTACCGGCACCTCCACTCTCACGGTGCGCACTTCTGACTCCTTGGCCGCACACCCCATCAGCAGCACCAACACACAAGCGGCCAGTAACAACTTCATAGACCCAGCTCCACATCGATAATTTCCCCCGCCGCTTCGGCGGGATCGCCGCCTGTTCGCTCCCGCAGCAACTTATTCGCAGCGGCATAATCTGGCTGAGATTCTTGTCTCGCCTTCTCCTGGGCCAGTGCGGCATTCCGCTCCCGCAAGTGCCCCGCCTGTACCAGATCACCAAGTTTCCTGCCCTGCTCCACTGCTAGCGCTTCCAGGTTGTCACGGGCCAAAGCCGCCTTGGCCAGGCTTGCATTCGAAACATCGAGCAGCGGCCTATAATGTCGAGCGCTCAGCCACACACCTCCGCCGACGCCTAGCAATGACACAAGGATGGCTGCTAGACCTAGGCCAACTAGCTTCTGCATCGAAGTCATGCCAGAACCCTCAATGCCACTTGATACAGGGCCATTCGATCGGCTGCACCATTCGGCATCTTGCCCTTGCTGCCCGTGTTAATAATGCTACCGATATTCTGGATGTCGCCAGCATCGGCCAGCGGGTTCAGCCCGTTTACGTACCAATACCAGGCCGCCGACAGCGCCGCGTATTGCGGCTGCGCCAGCAGATCAGGGTGATTGATCAAGTCGACACCCAGAGCTTCACCGCACGCACGATGGTTGTCCTTGCCAGTGATCTGGATCAGGCCGCGCCCTCGGTAGTCATAACCTTCACCCGTTGTCTCAGGGCCGTTGCCCATACGACCGCCATAGACGGCATTCCCCATGCGCTCCGAACTTCCCGCCAACTCGGCGGCACGCGGCACCAGGGACCGCCAGCGGGAACCCGGGCGAGCGGCATTACCTAAGGCAATGATTCGCTCCTGCGTGTAGTTCAGGCTCTCGACTAGGCGCGTCAAATGGCCGGACTCATGCCCGACTTGGGCAATGAAAGCCGCGATCCGCTTCGGCGTGACGATGCCGTACTTGTTCATCGCGGTATTCAGCACAGGAACAAAAACGCCGGCTTGGCGGCCGGCGTTTGGGAGGATCAGCAGCAATTGCTGCGCAGTGATTGACATAGATTTCTCCAAAAAAAACATGCATCAGCGCTGGCTGACGTAATTACGTACTGTTGAGATTTCCAAATGGAGCGAGCTTCCATGACAGACACAGATCACACTTCCAACCTACCTCATGCCGTCAAAACCATTTAGAATCCCTTCCAAATGGCAAAATCGCCAATACTGCTCAGGAACCTCTCATGCAATGGAAAGTATCGAAGAACTTCAACTACATCATGGCGTTTTTAGTACTCGTATGCCTCCCCTGGCAATTAAACACTTTCGCGAGTGGGATAGCGAAAAGATCAGCTCTACATGCCAGAAAGATATCCCGACTACGAACGTCATGGTTAACAAAGACATTGATGAGAAGCGCGTCATACCTCAAAGCGATGCAAGGCCAAACCTTACCGCCTGGAAATGCCCAGACGGCCAGGTAAGGGTTACACGGAACAGCCAAACAAAAGATCAAGCGCCCGGGGTGCTATGAGGAAGATATACGCCGGATCAATTTGATAATCTCTTTGATCGGTCGTACCACTTGAACCACGAAGTTGAACTGATTTGAATCGCTGGACGCACACTCCTTTCTCTAATCGAGAATGCCGTCCTCAGACGGGCTGAGGTTAGTGTGTTCAGCTACAACGGCGTCCAAGTGACGATTACAAACCCTACAACATCAATTGCAGCCCCACTTGGATTTTCGACCTCAACCAACATAAATCTTTCAGCGACTGTCGACTTTGTAACAGCGATGTTCTGACGGATCGACGTTGACAACGCAACACTCTGAAGATCCTCGCTTATCGCAGCCCCAGCAGAACCACCAAAGCCAAATCGGATATTCCCAGTCGTAGAGCCACTTTGACCAATTACATAAAGTTTATTGATGGTCGCGCCGAGCGTGGTAGTTCCAGGCAAGACACCTACCCGCCGCGTAGCCCCGGCAGGAACTGACAACGCGATAGGAATATGGACACGACTGGCGAACCCAACTTTTCGATCTGCTGATTCGGACAGATAGGCGACTTTATCGGCGTAGTTCCGAGAGCGGGTTAACAAATCACCAAGAGTAGGATGCGCCTTGGCACCGACGGACACATTGAAGAAGATACCGTCCGCACCGACCTCACTAATCATGCTCGACACGATCGCCATATTGTAAGCGTATACCTCTGGATCGACACTCTGGGCAATATCATTTGTGCCAGCGACCGCCCACACACAAACCGGCTTGTATGGTGCCACATCGGCGGCAAAGCGATCCCGCAGTTGGTCAGATCTGTTCCCGCCTACACCAGCATTTATAAAGGTCGCATTCGGTAGCCGCTCCTGCAGTCGAGTAATCATCGGGAACCACGAATCGCCAAGCCAGACATGAACTCCCTTATCGAGCGACCTGACACTGGAATTGACTCTAACAATCTCGATTTTCGACAACGCAATCTGATGACCGCTTGAGGCGCCCGTAATAACAACTTGAACAGTGGAGTTCGGGCGCTTGCAAAATGCAATTTCAACGCAGGTCGGGCGGACACCCGTTACCGTCGCTGCAGCTATCGTCGGGGACCCAACTCCCGCAACTGTTTCTCTGATCGCTATCGAGGCCGCTACAGCTGGATCGATCGAACCAGACAATGCTGGCGTAAGAGTGACTCGGGCGACGTAATTCCCACCGGCGATGTCAAAGGGTAATGTAACAACTCCCGCCAAGTTAGCGCCTGCAGTGATACCAAGCGCAGGTCGTGCATTAGAACCTGGGTTTTCATATTCGGGACTATTAACGCCTCCAATTGTCACCGCTAACTGTGTGGTGTAGCCGTCGGACGGAGCCCATGCGATCACTCTTTCAGTTTTTTTCTAAGATTCCGGAGAGCAAAATCAGCGATTGCTTTAAAACCGTTTTCGTTGGGATGCGCGACATCACTATAGAAATTGCTAACAACCGAACCGACTGAAACAGGCTGCTCAATTTTAGAATCCAATGAAAGCGTGTTAGCGTCTTTCGACTGCACAACTCCCGAATAATATTCGCCGTTAGCCCCCTGATACACAATCAACTGGCCAACTAAAAAAGAAGCGGTATTCGCAACAGGCAAAAATCTATCTGCTGATACGGCAGCAGTAGTCACCGTCGATACCAGTCCTCCAGATTCCCCCCTACAAATCCTACGCCGCGCAGGACTCCGTAATGCATATCCACACGTTGGTTTATATTGTTCTGCGACGTAGCTGATCCTGCTTGCAACCGGTTAATTGCAGCCCGAATAGCTGCCATTCCAGTTTTGAGCGTTGCACCGTCCGGCTCACGAATTAACGAGGTCCCATCTAGAGAGGCCAAGCCTTGGCGAAGAGATGCATCCCCGACGGGCATCAGTTTTGGCTCATCAGTAGCCCAGGCTCCTGTGAGCGTAAGCGGCAATTCGTTCTGATCTTTAACCCGGAAGAGTTCCCCAGATCGCTGAACCAACTGGCGAGGCCGCTCAACGACGGCTCCCGCGGCATAAGCTAAAAAGACACTCTCGTATCCGGCGTCGAGCAACAATTGGTCGAACTCAGCTTTCATTTGAACGAGCAGTTGATCAATTTCCCCGCGAACCTGCTCAACTGCCGTTGCGACATCTACGGTCGAGATATCGAGCAACATCGGTGCGACATAGCCGTAACGACTGATTCGAATATCAATGCGATCAGTCGATGAATAGAAGAAAACTCGGCCGTTTGCGTCTGCCTGAAAAGGATTTTCAAGCGGAACAGTTCCAGCAGAATTCGAAAACAGGACGGCCCGCGCCTGCGACCCATGGACGAACACATCCACATAAGCGTTAGGCAATAGAGCACCGTCTTCGGCCCTTGCGGCGAAGAACTGAATTGGCTGCATATTGGTTCTCTTTTTAAGTTGTAAACATAATAGGAGGTGCGAAGTTGAGCTGAGAGCGAACGCTGCTCCAGGTATCAAACGCTGCTGCCCGCAAGTAATAAGTTGTTCCTGGTGCCAAGCCTGTGATCTGGCCGGCCTCCGAGGCGCCCTGATAACCGATGGTGCCCGTGATCGTGGGATCGAAGCCCGCCGTGGTTGCATACACGAACATGTAGCCAGCCTTGTCAGCTGCGGCACTAGTATTACAACTGACATTCGCGGTGGTCCCGCTCACAGTCGCCGCTGTACCGCTGACAGCCGGCGGCGCGGTGTTCACCACCACCAGAGCGGACACAGGGGCGGTGCCGGCCGTGTTGCGCTCAATGACTTCAATCCGGTAGCTGCGTACCAGCGGTCCATCGACCAGGGCATCTGCCAACTGGTAAGTGAACGTGGTGGCGGTGGTGGCAACTTCACGCAACAAGGCGTTCGTGGCTGCGTTGCGGATTCTGACCAGCCGATCTGCGGCGTGTGCCCCAGCTGCCCAACCAACGGTGAAGTAAGGTGCCTCGAACGCGCCCACTAGCTGCAATCCCTGGGCAGCGCCTGGTACAACTCGCACTGGCGACAATGTGATGCTGTAGGGCGTCACATCAGCCAAGTCCTCCGACGCCCGGCCAAACACGTTGAACGAGCGGAACTTCACCCACACCGTTTTGCCGATTTGGTCGGTGGTATAGCTGTACTTCCAGATCGCGTCATCAAGCCGCACAAACTGGGCGTCCACCGGATGGTTGGAAACCGACGACCCCAGGCGCCCACGACGCAGGTACTGCAAATTGTAGGCGCCCGGCCCGGTGAGGGAAGCATCTCGATAGCTGATCAACTCACCATCAATCCAACACAATGTGGCACCACTATCCGCCTCGGCAGTGGTCGCGGCAGTAAGTTGATCGGCAACTGACAGCTTTACCGACAAGGTGTTGGTGATATCCGGATCAACTCCCGCCGGCAACGGCGCCGTGAGCCTGCCAATGCGCGAGCGACCATAGACGGTCTCAACCATTCGATAGCTATCACCGTCGGCGCTGATCCAGATATCACAGCCGCCCCACGCCTCATCGGCCCCGGCGACCGCGCCCCAGATCTGCGTTTCACCGGGCAACAGCAGGCTTTCTGGTGGATTGAAGATAATCGGCGCCAACACAGGCCCCGGCGCCGCGTTCTGATTGCCTTGGTATCCCGTCTTGCTCTGTACCGGATAATTCGGTGCACTGCCTGTACCCAGGAGCGCATCCTCGGCCACGACCGCCAGCTTGCCGTCTTCATCCTCTTCGACCGAGATCAATCGGACCAGGCGGCGGTTAAGCTTCAACGCCGGCTCTGTGATCGTGACCAGGTCCATTGGTTCCAGCAGCACATGTTGCCAGCCGAGGGAAAACTGGTACTCGTTGCGGATGTACAGCTTGCGCTGCACCAGCAACTGCGCCGAGTGCGACGCAATGGCCGTATCGCAGATCTCGTACGCCTTGATGGTGTCCATAGGCTTGGACCCGAATTGCTCGATGGCTGCCTGATCCGGTGCGCGCACCACGTCGGTGTTGTACTCATGATCGCGGTCGAGGATCTCCAGTGACACCTCGTTGTAGCTGTCGGCCTGGCTTTTGATCTTCAGCTGTACCGGTGGCTCGCCCTCTTCCGCCAAAAAATCATCATCCGTGAGGTGCGCCACGGGCGTGACATTCGGGTACCAAGTCACACCGTTGCCGGTGACCACCTGATCACCGAATGGGATCACCTTCATTTTGCCGGCTGACCAGATCACCTCGCTGTTGGTCAGTTGCAACCAGCGCGTGATGGCTTCGCTACACGGGGCCTGCTCATCCAATACCGGGCTGAGCAACAGATTCTCTGCCAAGCAGTAATCCCGGTAACTGCTCAGGTCATCAATCCAACGCGGATCAAAGCCTATGCCGTCCAGCGGATCCAGCAGTAGCCCGGGCAGAAAGAGCCCGGGATTGGCGTCGGGCAAGCCGGGCACCTGGTAGGGACCGTCGACCTCAAAGGTGTGGTTCTGCACGCCGGCGTTGTCATTGAGCAGATAGCGTGCCGCGTAAACGTACGACGTATCTGAATAGGCGATCGCCTCGGTCGGGTGCTTTGTCTCAAGGTATCCCCAAACCGGCTGATCCGCGGTGCCCGGCATGAAGCTGAAACCGATCTGTGCCAACGCCGACTGCGGAACGCCATCGACCACCTTGTCGGCAAAGACTTCTTTGTCACGAAAAATCCGACGCACCGCGCTAAGCTTTCCCCGGCCAATACCGAGGATGATCGCGGCGTAGTAGGTATAGGTCGTGTCTTTCTGCGTTGCGCCACCGCCGCCCTTGCCACCGGTTTTGGTCTTGGTGGTTTTGGCAACCGCTTCAAAATCGGTGTAATAGATCAGGTTGGGACTGATTCGGTTACGACCGGCAATCCAGGCGATGGGTTTGCCGCTGGCGCTGCTCTGGATCTGCAGCGCGTTAATACGGGTCGCACTGTTGGAAATTGAACTACCGCCACCTCCCCCATCACTGCCTCCAAAACTGTCGAGTGTGTAATAACGCACTGGTCTACTGGCCAGGCGCTCTTCGCGCATATCGGCGACTTCGACGCCGATAGCTAGAAACGAATGAATGACCCGGTGCTCATCGATGACCACAGCGCCATGGCTGTAGGTGCGGCCGAACTGCCAGATGGCGACATCTCCGGGTTGCGGGGATTCGACCTGGTGCCCGTACTCTTCTAGCCAGGACAGGTAAAGCTCCTTGCTGCGGTGCAAATGCCAATCCTGCGCGTAGGCACCGGGATCGATCCAAGGCAAGAGACCAACCGAGTGGTAAACCTCAATAAGCAACCAGGCACAGTCCACGCCTACGCCCAGCAGATGCTGGCGGTGCTCGTAGGGTGTCTTGAGCCAACGTCGGGCCTCGGCAATCACCGCTTCGCGCTGCTGCAGCTCAAGATCGGTCATACAGAAGTCTCAGCTACGGGGATAAAGGGCATGCCGCGATAACGTCCTCGGTTGCCAAACTTGTTGGTGCAGGCGTCGAGTGTGCGCGGGCAGCCGGGGTAAATAAGGAACTGATCGCCCACTTGCAGCTCTGCCGGCAGGCCGAGAATCAGAGTGACGGCACCGTCGGCCGTTTGGCGACGAACAGTGCGCGAAACACCAGCATTACCGCCGTTCACAAAGCGGATTACGCCCTGATCAAACCACCCATTTTGCGCGCCGATGTTGGTGCGAATACGAAGGCCGCTCGTGGACTCCAGCACCGAACCCGCAGTTTCGAACAATGAGCGATTCACACCGCAATCGTCGCTATAAACAGTACGCAGGCATCCTGGCTGATAGACCCCTTTAGGCACCTTGGTATCAAGCAGCTCCATCGGCGATTTGACCGAAAACGTCGCCTGCTCGCGGTCGGCAGGATCCACTTCGGCCACTCGCCCAATGAAGCGCAGTACAGTGCCGATCACAGGCGCAGTCCAATCGAGCATGAACGCCCGGGATAGCGACAAGGAAGCGCCATCAAAGCCCCCTCCGGCGATGAATGCCAGAATAGGCTCACCCAGCAGCGTATCCTCGATTCCGGCGTAAAGGGTAACGCTCAGGGTATCGACCTCTACCCCTCGCACCGTCCGGATCCCGGTACGCTTTAGTAGTGGCCCTGACGCCGAGTAATTCACACCATCAGCGAATAACTGCACGCCGGCATCGGTGTATCGCAGCACCTGCCCACTCGCCAGGGTGATGGTGTATAGATCGGCCATCACAAAGCTTCGGGCCGTGGCCAGAAACTGCCTCAACTCGGGACTGACATCGATCATGGTTTGATGCTCGTAAAAGAAACGTTTTTCATCTCCCAAATCCGGCCGAACGGCTGCGCGCCGTCCAGCGAATCTGAGTCGTATGCACAGCGAAAAAAGAACGCGCCGGTCCATTCAAGCGCCAAGCCCATGGCAGGGGCCTTAGCAAAGGTGATTTTGCCAAGAGCATCGACGCTGTAAGCGGTCACGGGCACCCCAGCGACCGTCAACAGGTCTATGTTGACCACGCCATAAACGGGTTCTACCCACCCCTCGATGGCCCGCGACAGCTGAAACGTTCGGGTAACTCCGTCGCCAAAGCCGAAGCGATGCTTGGTCACTTGGTGATCGGTCCTATCGAAATACAGGAAGTCCCCGAACTGCCCTTTTCGCTGATTGAAGAACGCGACCAGCCGCGACCATTCATCCAGGCCGGGACGTTTGCGTACCGCGTTGTAGTTGATCTGAAACGTCCAAAACGGAGCTGGGTAATACGCCGTGGTACGACGCCGTCCACTAGCTGACTTTTGCACTCCCGTGCTCCATGCAGGGGATTTTTTGGCAAGGAACGTTTGCCCTGGCATATAGGGCAAAACATCGTCCGCCATAACACCGCGATCCGGTAAACCGGCAATCCAACGCGCTGGAAAAAAAGGCCCGAGCAGCATGAAAACTCCTTTATGCCTTGAGGGCACCGTTGCGCTGCAGCTTCTGCATTTCAAGAGCAAATACCCTGGCGTTGCGCCGGATATCCGCCGGCGTCAGCCGGCCGCTGCTGTCGTGATAGTGATATCCACCACCTCCACCGCCGCCCAACTGACCATCACCGTTCGCGGCCTGGCGGATCACGTTGGCGTACTGCTTGGGCAGAACCATTTCCTGTTCATGGAGCTGGGTCATCGGGTTCACCCCAGCCGGGATGTCATAACCACCCTCAGCAGAGGCCACGTTCTTGATCAGGCCGAATACGAACGCACCAGCGGCAACACCGGCAGCAACGCCCAAAGCTGGCCCGATGATCGGGATTGCAGACATTGCTGCAAACGCACCCGCGATCGCCTGGTAAGCGCTGGAAATGATGTTGCTGATGGTGGCAGCACCCCAGACCGCGACGGACATCGCGGCGCCACCGATCTCGGCCGCTGTTCGCAACCCGACGCCGGTTACGGTCGCCCCGGTTTTTGCCGTTTCACCGAATACCCAAGCCATCAAAGGTTTGGTGACCATGTTTTCGACAAACGCGGTACCGATGCTGCCAAAAATCCCTTTCAGCAGCCCCTGAGTGCTCATCGTCCCGGTGAGGATGCCGTTTAGCCCGCTACTCCAGCTGGACTGCAAACTTCCCATCATCCCGGTCCAATTACTCTGGGATTCCATGGTTTGCTGCCGGCCGATCACAGCCATGCTGTTTCGGTGAGTCTGCTCCAGGGCGAGGATCTGCTGCTGGACCTGCTGCAGGGCGACCGGGTTGCGGTCGGGATCCTGGTCCAATAGCGCCTTGCGTTGCGCCAAGGCTTCAGCCTCGATCGCGTACCGCTGTTTTTCGAACTCGGCCTGAGATTGCAGCAATTGACCCTGAGTGATCAGGTTGGCCTGCAGGTCCAACTGGGCCATCTGTTCGGCATGGGCAACATCGGTCAACCGGGCCTGTTTATCAGCAGCATATTCCTGCTGCTTCATATTGGTGATTTGTTGCTGTTTCTCCCGCTCGACGGCGACCACTTCGGCAGCTGCCTTTCGGTATTCCTGGCTGTCCTGGCCATAAAGCTGCCGGCTGCGCTCCAACGTTTGCTGAGCGATATTCAACCGTGCGTCCATGTTGTTGCGGTATTGCTGCGCCTGAGCCTGAAGGTCTGCGAATGCCTGGCCTTCATCCTGGCGGCGCAACGATCCCAATGCGGTCAAGTAATTGCGCTGCACGCCCAGCCGTTCCTTGGCCGTCAAGTCGGTGCGCTTGAGGATACCTTGCCAGTAGTCCGCTTCCTGTTGCTGCGAAAACTGGAGAAACGTGCCCTGCTCGGCCTGCTGCTGGGCGTGCGCGACCTTTTGCGCATCCAGCGCTTCGGACCATTCGCTGACTCGCGAGGTTGCTTTGCCGGGTGCTGTTGCAGGGGTCTCAGTTTTCTTCGGTGGCGTTGTCGCCTCCTCAACCTTTTTCGATGCTCAATTGCGGCGGCATAACCGGCTTCAAGCTTCGTCAGCCGAGCGACTTCGATACCGTAAGCTGTTGGTGCTGTCCGGCCCTGCTGAGGCGCTTTAGTCATCGCGGTGTCGCCCGTTGCCGCCATGTCAGCCACCTTCCGGCGCTGCTCTTCAATGCGTGCAACACGGGAGCGCATACCGGCGTCCACCTCGTCTACCTTGTTGGAGACAAGTTGCATGTTCTCCAACAGCAGACGCTCCTCCACCAATGCCGCTTCGAGGGGAGCCTTACTACCATTACCACGCGGACCAGGCTTGAAGTCCTTGAGGATGGCTTCATAGCGAGCAACGTTCGCTGCAACTTCGTCGACTGTTACCCCAACGCCTGTCATTCCTTTCAACAGACTATTGAACCAACTGGCCGTCTCAGCAAGTCGCTTGTTCAGGCTGACAAAAACAGGCTCCAGAATCGTGCCAATAGTGACCTGCAGCTCGTTGCTTTTTGAATCAAGTTCGGCCTGGCTACCTGTCAAGCCGTCAGCCGCTTTCGCTGCGTTGCCGACCTGGGCTTCAGTTTCTTTCATTACCCCGTTGTATTCAGCTGTGATCTTCTGTGAATCGGTCAACTTGTCGCGCGTGGTACCAATACTCTTGGCATATTCCTCCCACATCTTTGCAACGTTTTTCGTTACACCGGCGTTGTCGACCAACACTGAGTTTTCATTCTTCAAACCTTCGGTAGCCGACACTACGGCTTCCGAAAGACTAAGGTTCGCCTGCCGGTTAAAGGCAGCAGCATCTTTCAAGCGCGTAATGACGCTCACTGCCTGGTCAACGTTGTAGCCCCGGCTCAGCAGATTTTGAAGTGCTTTTGCCGAATCTCCGACACTGATCAGGCCGTCAGCAGCAAGTTTGTTTGCCTCATCCATGGCGCGGCCAATACCAACACCTGCGTGATTGGCGACCGCCTCTAAGCCCCGATAAGCTGCCTGCTGCTGAATTGCCGCATCCTTGCTGTCAACAACCAACTGCTTGACCTTGAACGCACCGAGTGCAAAAACACCGATCAGGCCAGCGGCAACACTTGAAAGCCCAGAGCGCATGATGGTGCTGACGCCGCCCAACGCATCATTGACCGCCGGACCAAAACGGCTCAGTTGCGTTTGGCTGCCCACCATTTCGGTATTGATAGCCCTCAGCTCGCGACTGAAAGTCGTTCGAGCATCACGCATGTTCCGCTCAATGCTTTCGATTGCACGGTCAAAGCCTTGGGTGCCGGCAGTGAACTGGTACGCGATATTTCTATCCATGCCGAAACCTCACATTGCAGACGTAAAAACTCCGCCGAGGCGGAGTTAGTGGGTGATGGCGAAAAATGCCAGATAAGGGTCATGCGGGCGGGACAAATGCATCCAACGCCCCACGCAGATGCTCAGGCAGATCCGCGCGCATATCTGCCGCCATTGCCGCCAAGTTGCTAGCCAGGTCAGGCGCATCCGTAACGCCTTCAGTCGGCTTGTATCCCATGTAACCAGCCACGAGCACGTGCACGGGTGGATGATGCCGCCAGTAGTCCGTCATATGGCCCACCATCACCATGTCCCAGTCACGCCGCAGCGTGACCGGGCTTTGGCCTGTGCTGGCGATCAAGTGAGCGTAGAGCTGGCCCCAGTCGAAGGGGCCTGGCCTTCCCCCGGCGCAGGCTCCGTCACTTCCAACCCAGAAGCGCCCATAACGGCTTCGAGTGCGTCGCGGAAATTGCGCAGGTCAAGCAGCCCTGATACTTCCTGGCGATCCATGTCAGGGTAATTTCGACGGAGCGCGGCGTGCGTAGCATCGATCACCGTGGCAATCGCATCCTTATCCATGTTTCCGGCCATGACGCGGTTGATCCGCTCCAGCAACTGCTCCAGATCGCCCAACGCCAATGGCGGAATAGTCAATGTCTTACCAGGAAACTGGAAGTCCACACCGGGGATATTGACGGTCATTCGCTAGAACTCCAGTAAGCGACTTCGCCGAACTCATCCGCGTAGCCGGTGAATTCAAAGTCAGGAATGGTGTAATCGTCCTGCTTGGTCGAAAGACTCAACTTGTTGCTGACGAAGTTGGGCACGCGGACGTAAATCGACTTGCCTTTGTATTTCAGATACAGCTCACCCTGGAACACCGGCATATCGCCCATCGGCAAGTTGCGCACGGAAAGGCTCTTGCCGGTGGCGACCGAGTAGCGGTAATCGATAAATACCGGCACGCCTTCGTCCGCAGCGGCGAAAGCGTATTCACCGGTACCTGAGTCATAGGTGTATTCCCCCTTGGCCGGCGCTGCCAGTACACGGGTGAACGGGGCTGCACCGCCGCCGCGAACACCCAAGTCACCGGCCAAGAGGCCAGCAGGTGGCGGGGTGACGATGATCTTGCCGCCGGCAGGAATATCCTGGGGAGTGGTTGCGTGGTGCACAAGCACCTGGCCGGGCTGGAGGGTTTGCCCGAACACCAAGGCATTCATTTGCGACAGGCTGATCTGCGCCGCCTTGGCCTTGCCCGATAGCTTGCCTTGACCGCGCGCCGCATCCACGGCGAATTGCTCGCTACCGAACAGCTCCTTGGAGTCGTACGACAGATCAACCGATGCTTCCTGCATGATGCCCAGTAGGATCGGGGTGGGTGACGCTAGGGCGTTGCCATAGGCGTCCATCAGCGGGGTGGCGTAAAACAACCCACTGCCGAATGCAATTTGCATAATTTATTCCTCAGTAAAAGGTGGGGCCGGTGGTCAAGTCGCCGGTGTTGCACAAGTAGGTGAAGCGATAGCGGACCAGGCAGTTGCCGGCGGTGTTGTCCCCTTCGTCCTCAATCCAGTCGATGTAAAACCGCTGGACCCGGTCCGCTTCCGGAAACGCATCCTCTGTTGCCAGCACCGCATGTACGGCTACCTTCACGAGGTCAGCCACCTGGTCCCAGGCGGCCCCTGTAACAGTGTCTTCCCGAGCGATAATTTCTACCGTCAGTTCGAACTGGTTGCGGTCCACGGAAAAGCTTTCCCGCTCAGTAGTTTCAAGGCTGGGCCGCAGCACTAGCGCCGGAGTCATGTCGCGTGTGATCGCCTCGGTACGGCTGCGAAACACGCGGTCAGCCGCCGGCGTATCGGCAGCCAGGATCAGCGCCTGCGCCTTTGCGACGATGCGTTCTTGGATCGAAGGCATGGATTAAACCTTGGTGAGTGAGGCCAGGCTGAAGGCGCCGTCATCGATCATCCGGCAGTCACGGACCCGAAAGGCCACGCCACCTACGGTGATCAGCTTGGGATTTCTGATACCGAGGCGTTCAGCGTCGGAGGTAATGACAAGGATCTCGTAGCCGGTGGACTGGCTATTGGTGCCGCCCATGCCATGGATCTCATCTGGCATGTCGCGTGCCGCCAGAAACGGCTCACCATCGACGACTCCGCCAACGTCAAAGTCCTCAAGGAAACCCCTAAGGTCTTCGTCAAGCATCGGGGCTCACCTTTTGCTTGCGTCCACCTTCACCCACCGGTGCCGGCGATGGCCCGGACACCACGACTTCCAACTGGTGACGAAAGCGATCTGCCACGTCGTCCGGCAGCTCTACTAAGCCACCTTGGCCGATCAGGCTGTTGTCTGGCCGGCGGAACGAACCTGACAGGACGGTATATGTTTTATTCGGCATCGCCGGTCCCTCCAGCTTTGTCCACCTTCACGAGCCGCTGATCCAGCGCCTTGTCCGGCTCACCGGGGATCACGATCACCTCCCCGACTTTGAACTGGACGGGCTCCAGAATGGAGTAGCGCCCCTTTTCTTTTCGACCGGCTCAAGGCAGTGCTTTCGGGCGCTGGCCTGGGCGTCTGTCAGGATCAACTCACCACCGTAAAGGGTGATGGTCTCTGTCACGCGGTATTTCGGCATATCAGTGTCCTCGGTGAGGTGGCGGGCCGACCGGCTTATGCCACCAACTGGTTAAGGACGGCGTACTGCCAGCGGCCAAAACCGACGTTGCGCCAGGTGTCGACACCATACTGATGCGCGTCGTTGTCAAACTCGTATTCCGATCCTTCCGCCTTCGCTTTCATTGCGACGTCGGTTTCCTGCTGACGGATGAACGCTTTCAAACGGCCATCGGTACGCAGGGTCACGAACTTGTCCTGCCAGGCATTGAGGCGCACGTTACCGACCACGCGGACCACCACGTTGTCGGGCATGACAATCTCGTTGATGTTGGTGCCGCGCGGAACGCTCAGCGCGGACTGAGCAACGCTCAACAGGTTGAACGGCACCATCACCAGGAACTCGCGAGCCAGTTCGTTGATGGGTTCGCCCTGATCATCCTTGAGGCTGGTGAGCTGGGTCACAGACCGGGCAACTGCCTGTTGGAATTCCTCGACACTCGGTCGGGTTGGTGTGCCATGAACAGCCGCCGCCAGCTCGGAAAGTTTGGTGGTGATTTTGTTCGACTGCACCCCGCTCTGGCCTTCTTCGTGGTCAACGTCGAAGAAGTACTGGCCGTCGTAGCAGACCTGGGTTTCTCCATTGAGTAACAGTACCGAAAGCAGCCTGGCCCAGTGTGCATTCGTGCGGTCGGCCAGCTCGCCGAGGCGGATGCGCAGTTGCCCGGTCTTGTCGCGGCGCAGCTCTTTGACCAGAACCTCAATGGTTGCTTCGAAGTGCAGGTTTTCGATTTCGAGTTCAGCACCGATGAAGCCCTTGGCATGACGGCCGCCGATCCACTCACGCAGCGTCGGTACCATACCGATCCACGGGTAGGTCTCTTTGGCCTGGTCGGAATCGAACAGGTTGGACACGGCGTCGATCCAGTTCGACCCCACATTCTGTTCGAGCATTTCGTAAAACATGCCGATGACGGCACGGCTGGAAAGTACTTCAGCACCCATGGGTGATTCTCCTGAAGAAGGATACGGTCAAAAAAAGAAAGGGTTTGGGTGTTGCGTTAAGGCGCGACAGGCACTGCCTGGGCGGCGAACTTGACGATGCCGACGCCAGAGCGGACAAAACGGTGAACATGGCCGACCAGGCTGTTCCCTGCTGCGGTCAGCAGGAATGCGCCGCTGTCGCTGGCGTAAACCTGCTTGCCGATATCAGCAAGCGCCAGGGCAGCCACGGGCAGTTCAATCTTGCCTTCTTCGCGAAGACGGACGCGCACGGCCGCAGCGGCGCCGGTGCGGTTGTCGACGCCGCGATCAGCGAAACCGACAAAAAGGTCACCCGCCGCCAAAGGGCGCGCCAGCCCACTGGCAGCAATGATGCCAACGGCCGACCCTTCGAAGATCTGCACACCGGCGGCAACGGACAAGTCGTTGATGGTGCCGATCTCGTAAGCGCGGGGTGTATCGAGTGTAAGAGGCATGGGATTCTCCAGAGCCAGGATTTGAGGGACTTACCAGGTGCTTACTTTTTCAGAACCTTGACCAAACCACGGTCGGTGGCCTTGCGATAACCGTGGTAGGCCTCGAAGGTGCCAAACTCGGCGCGCAGTTCCTTATCGCCGTCCCAGGTCGCTTTGGCGCGCTCTTCCAGGGGCGCCTCTGGATCCTCTTCGGCGGCAGCTGGTGCAGCCGGTGGCGTGAGTGCGTTGGGTACCGCCGCAGGGGCCTGGTTGCGAATGTCGGCAAGAGCAGTGGCGCGCTTGGACTTTTCGGCACCAATCACCTGTGCAGCCGCCTCGGCGCCGCTGGTTTTGCCATCGAACTTGAGGCTGGCGATCAGCTCTTCATGCCCGGGCAAAGCCGCCGCCTCGACTGCCTTGATGCGATCGCACTCGGCGCGAGCGCCAGCTGCATGTGCGTCATGCTCCAGGCTGGCCAGCAATTCCGCGTGATTCGCGGCCAAATATTCACGGGTGATGGCCGGCTTGTCGGTGGTTGGAGCTGTTACGGTGCTGCTGTTTGGTGCGGACATGGATCGATCTCCAGAGGGACTGCCGTTGAATTCGGCGATAAGGTTTTCAAGGGTGGATTCACGGTCGGCCATGCCCAGTTCCACGGCATCCGAGCCAATCCGCATGTCGCCCTGGCCGAAGTCAGCCAGGACGGTTTCAACACTGAGGCCGCGATAATTAGCGACGTCCTCGACGAAGATGTCGGTCAGGCGGTCGACGTGGGCCTGTGCGACAGCGCGGCCTGATTCGGTACCGAAGTCCGGCCGCTTTTTCGGGCTTTGGCTGCTGACGATTTCGAAGCTGCCGTCGTCGCCGCTCTTGCGCACCGTCAACACGGTGCCGATGGATCCCACGGCGCCGGTACGGCTCATGACAATTTCATGGGCCGCTGCCGCCATCCAGTAACCGGCACTGGCCGCGTTGCCGGACACATAGGCCACCACCCGCTTGGGAGACGCGCGGATCATCTGAGCAAACTCAGCGATGCCGCTGGCAATGCCGCCAGGTGTATCCATCACCAGGATGATGGTGTCTGTTCGCGGATCATCACCGGCGGCGGTGAACTCTTTCGCCAGAACATCCAGTGAGGTTGCACCTGACAACGCCGTAAACAAGTTGGCATAGCGAAACACCGGGCCAGTGACTGGCAACAAGGCAACGTTGCCACGTTGAGTCACCGCCCGACTATTTTGTAGGGGCTTGCCCTGCCTGGCTTCCAGCGCTTCTGGGCCTTCATGCTCCCGACGGGCAATGGCGGTGATGGTCTGCAGCATGTCCGGGGTAATGGCCCAGGGCTCGCGTGACACCAGGTCGAACGCCGTCACCCGGTGCACGGGTGCATCGGTTGGGTTGTCGCTCATAGTTAGGTCCGTTCAGGTAAGTCGGGATTGGCCGGCGGCTCATTGTCCGGGCGCGCCGTCGGTGAAGCTGAAAGCCCGTCATCGCGCCGGCGCTTCACTTCCAGGGCGCGCTGTTCGTGGTTTTCCTCCCAGTCGCTGCCGTCGTAGAGCATGGATTCCTTCGCCAGAGTGCTGACGCCGATATCGATCCGCTTCTCGGCGGCGTTGATATCCTTCAAAGGGTCTACGGTGCCAGGACCATCACCCACCCACAGCGAACCGCAGTAGGCATAACGGAGTAGCGGGTGATCGAAAAACCCAGGGGCTTCGATATCACCCTGCGCAATGGCCTCTTCAAGCCAATGCTCGTACACCGGCTGGCAGAAGTGCGAGCCCAGGAAGTCGCGGCAACCGCGAACGAACTGCCACGCTTCCATGACGGCTGCACGCGCGGCGGTATAGCTGGCAGTGAAGTGCTTGATCAGCACCTCATAGGGCAATTCCAAAGCCATGCCGATCTGGCGCAGCATCGCTAGCACGAACGGGTCAAACGCCATGTTTGGCCGGCCTGGGGCCGCAGTGTCGATGGACGCACCGTCGTCCAGCTCGGCGACAATGCCGCCACTAAGTGAACCGTCCCAGCCACCCTGCTCCCGTCCTGCAGGCCGGTCACCACCGACTGGCGTGTTGCCGGTGGCAGCAGATGCCAATGGGCTCAGGCTCCCGCCATTCCCCGGTTTGATGAACACAGCGAAGAACGCCGACACCACCGCTGCTTCCAGCTCGGCATCGGTGTAGCGGTCTAACTGTTTGAGTTTTTCGATCACCGGCGCCAGGTACGGCACGCCCCGCGGCTGGCCTACCCTGCGGCGGCGGTACACATGCAACAACACCCGCCCCCGCGCTCGTTGAAGAACGGGCGCTCATCCCATACCCGTTCTTTAACGCCCAGCGCACCAGGGTGGCTGCGCAGGATATGAGCCTTGATCGGCGCGCCGTCGGCATCACGTTCGATACCGGCGGTGAGGGTTTCCGTATCAGCCTTGCCCGACGGGTTGCAGATCCGGTCGGCTTCAATGAGCTGGATACACGCCGAGTAGTGATGGCCGGGGCGCTCCTTGTGGGTCAACAGCGGAAACACATCACCGCTGCTCAGTACCGAACGCCACGTCAGATCCTGCAAGCCATAGAAGTTTTGCTCGCGGGTGATGTCGCAGCAGGTGGTTTCCGCCCAGGACTTGAAGAGCGATTCAGTCTTGCGCTGCCACTCCCTGGCCTGATCTTCATCCCAGCCAAGGATCTGGCGATTTACCACGGACTTGAGCGCCAAGCCGGTACCGACCGTTTTAGTCGTCACCGTGTTGATCGCACCACCGCCTATGGGGTTGTTGCGCTCAAGGTCACGGCAACGCTCGCGAAGCGTGGGCAAGTCGGGCAGCAAGTCAGCCGCTGCACTGCCGGCGGCGGGGTTCCAGGCACTCAACGAGCGCTTGGCCTTCGACGCGCCGCTGTAACCGCCCAGCGCGGTCATGGTGAGCCGGGCATGCATGCGCTTGGCGCCGCGTTCAGGGCTCAACCAGGTGATGGCCTTGTCGAGCAGCGTTGGTTCTGGGGCTTTCGGTGCCCGGCTCATCGCGGCGTGATCCCACGCAGAACAATCCCCCGTGGCCGGCCGCTTTCCAGGCCATCAACTTGCTTCTGCCAGTAATCGATCGTTTTGGTGATCTCGGCAAGGTCAGCGTACTCCAGCTGGCGGGTGCCGATCCGGTAGCTTTGCTTCTGGCTGACCTTCATGCTCGCATCGAGCCAGGCTTGGAGCTGGCCCTGCGCTTGTTCCAGGGTGATAGCCATGATTAATTCCTGCGTTGGGAGAGCACACGCATTGCACTGCGGCGCCCAGAAACAACTCTCCCGCCAGCAGGCGGGAGATCGGGGGTTCAACGGGTGGAGGTGATTCAGGGGTCGCCCCTTGGGTTTCGGGATTGGCCTCGGCCTCAGGCCTAACTGGTTCGGGCTGGTCAAACAAACCGCCCTGGCGGATCTGGGCATCGAGCGCCGCCCAGTCCTGCTCCTGCAGCAGATGCGTTTTCAGGGATCGGGCTGCGTGCAGCGCGTAGGTTTCACAGTCGGTGCCTTCGTTCGGCTCGCCGGCCTTCTTCTGCCACACCTTGCGGTAGTGGTGTCGACGGCTGGGAGCCTTCACTTCGGCGGTGATTTGCCGGAAGTAGTCCGGGCGCACCGTTTTGTAAAAGTGCATCCGACCAGGGCCGTCACCCGTCAGCGGCAACCGGCCCTCAATCCACAGGTCCTTGGCCCGCGACGTGCCGACGATGTAGGGGCGAAGGCCATACTTGGATGCCTTCTGCTCTTTGTCGGTATCGACGCCCTGCCGAGGCGCGCTGAAGATCTCCCGGCGCTCGTCGTCGCGGGTGTTGCCACGCTCGCTCGCGCCTTTGATCGCCATCACACCACTACGTTGGTGCTTACGACAGAACGCATAAGCCGCGTCCTGGGTGATGGTGCCGTCGGAGGTGTCGAGCGAAGTCGCCAACACTTTCAACTTGGCGCCGCAGGCGTGAGGAATCGCCGCAAACAGCAGCTTCTCCAGATCCAACCAGACGCCCTGGTCTGGCAGCACCACTTCGCCGTAGATTTCGCCCCAGTAAAGCAACCATGATTCCTCACCCCGGCCCCAGGCCCGCATCACCACCGCCAGGCGATCGTGTTGAACATCGACGCCGGCAGTGACCACGATTCCGCCCATGGGCACGTACATCTCCGGGTAGTCCTCTGCGCGTTCGGCCAGTTTGTCGGCTTCGGGCAGATCGGATTTGTACTCGTAGGCACGGCCTTGTTTCTGGTTGACGAACTTGATCAGCAGCGACAGGTTGCCCATGGACGCCTGGTGTTCGGCGTTGAGCTTCTCGCGCACGATGTCGGCTAGGCTGGTACCCGGCAAGCAGGCGTACAGCTCATTCAACTCAATGAACCCAGCGCGCCCGGCAAAGGTTTGGTCGGCACCCAACCGCAGTATGGGTCGCCGGCTTCTACCGCGTTGAACACCGTGTTGCGGATGTTCTCTTTACGCTGATAGTCGTCCCAGATCTCGCCGCAGTGAGGGCAACCGTAGCCGGCAGTCTCGGGATCTGCGCGGCCGTAGATCTCATGAGGGGTTGCTTCTTCCTCAATGTCGAGCCACTTGATATGAGCGAAGTCCAGCACATGCGCCTGGCCGCAGGAATGGCAGATAACCGGCAGCACCCGGCAATCGGTCTGTGCAAGGCGCGCCTCGGTCTTGCTCGCGCCCTTGATCGCCGGCGTCCCGCCTACCAGCATCTTGGAGCCGGGATAACGCTTGCCACGCTCTTCCAGCAGGGCAATCGCATCGCCCTGCCCCTTCACATCGTCGCTGGTATCGTCCGGTTCCTCTACCACCGATAAACCCACGGAAGACGTGGATTTGACGTTGCCCGGGGAGTTGGACGCGACCAGTTTGAGGAACCCGCCTGGAAAGGTCTTATGGTCCCACCGGTTGCCCGATGTGCGGCTGACATCCACCGGCATGAGTTTTGCCACCTCGGTGTTCGCGGTGACGCCGAACTTCAGCTTTTCGTCGTGGAAGTTCTTGCCGTCCTTTTCCTTGGCAAACAGGATCATGATCGGACGCGGCAGGTTGTGGATGAACTTGAACAGGTAGCCGATCAGGAACCACGTCCAGCCGATCTGCGCCGCTTTCATCAGGTCAACTTCGCTCACCCGAGGGTCGTCCAGGGCGGCGGCGACGCCGAGAAAGTAAGGCGTGTATTGGAAGTCGTAGAGCCCGTGCAGCACACCGCTCTCGGCGGGCAGGTAAAATTCGGTGCTCATGTAATGCGCGGTCGGGATATCACGGGGCGGGTTGAATTTCCCCGCTGCTGCCGACAAGCTCCGCGCCAAGTTTTCGCGCGTAGCCTGCAATTCGCTCGGTTGTAGGTCCAGCAACTTTGGCCACCACTGTTCGATCTACCGTGAGTTTCTGCACGTTCTCGATTTCCTGAATGATTCGTTCAAGGCCGCCCAGGTATTCCCGGTTTGCGAAGCTGGCCCAGTCGGACAGCACCCGCTCAGCCTCACTTGCCGGGATCAGTGATCTCAGTTTTTCGTGATACGCCAACCGTCCATTGGCCGACTTCTGCTGCAGGTCATCGATCCGCGCTCTGTTGAGCTGTTCAAGCTGGCTGCCCCCGCGCCCAGCGGCTTTTCCGCGCAGGTCGCGGATGTAGGCCGTCCGGATCTCATCCAGGCTTGCGGTCTGCCAGTCCAGGTCCAACGCCTTGAGCACATCGCGGGCATTTCGCTCGCTCATGTCCAGGTGATCAGCGACTTCACGTTGGGTTTGCATTGTCTTGTCCTATTGCCGACATGGAAGCGGAACCCCCTATGTCAGGTTGAATCTGTGAAAAAGTCGGGGTTCGAATTACCCCATTGGCCCCGGTGCCCGGAAGGACCCATTGATTTCGGGGCACACATGCCCCTGTCAAGCCTAAAACCTGCCAATTCATTGAAATATCGCCACTTTTTTGAGAAAAAGCACGAAGCCGACAGGAGGTCAGCTCCTTTCCATCTCCCGAGCCAGGGCACGCCGGAACAGCGGTTCGAACTCGGCCTGGGCCACGCGATTGGCGACCCCGTAGAAGTCAAAGCGCCGTCGATACGTCGGGCGCTTGACGAAGATCAGGATGGGCCTGGCACCACTGCCTACCCGCTGCCAAATGCCACGAGGGCCGGTGCCGTTACCAGGCCGACCCACGAAGTAGTTCGGTGCATTTCGGTTGCGCCGCTGGCTTCGTTTCGTGCGGTTAGCCATGAAGCCCGACACCCGCTCTGCTGCACCGAGGGCGGATAGGATCTGCACGATCTGGCCGCGACTGATGTTCCCGTTGCCATCCATTCGGGCGCGCCGACCTGGTACTGCGTACATGTCCGCTGGCATCAAGCCGTAATGGATCAACGCCTTCTCGAAGCGCTTGTGCGGGCGGTTGCCACCGTCCATGTGCACCGGCAAATACTTGGATGCGGGAACACCTGAGCTGGCTTCGTCCTTGACCCACACCCGGGCGTACAGCCGGGTGACCGTGGCGCTGCGCTTGAAGATAGAGTTCAACGTCCAACGTGTGGGGCGATCAAACACCCGGGCCAGTTCGGCTTTCTCGGCAGCCTGGACGCGCTCCGCCGTGAAGGTCAGCGCCTTGGCTGCTGCCGTTGGCACCTTCGACCGGCCGATACCGCGCATCTCCCTGACGATCTGATCGATGTTGTCACGCATCTCAAGCCGCATCATGGCCCTGGCTCCTTGAGGCTTAACGCCCTACATCACCGTTTACCGCTGCTGACTCACTCAGGCCCAGCCGCTTGGCTGCCCACCGCTCGTACAGCCCAATGGCAACGTCAGCACCTGCCATCGCCGTAAGGCATCCCAACGCGCCTGATGTCCAAATAGACATGCCCGCCGCGTAAAGCAGCATGATCGCCGACACGCCGCACACAACACAGGCACCCGACCGAAGGGCCAACCGTCGAACCAGTGCCCAGCCACGTGCCCCTTCCTTGTCTGCGCGCCACATCTCACCGGACACACCGCCCACCAGGGCGAGGACAATCACTAACCAGATCGGCATCTCGGCCAGGGCCTGTTGTTCATTCGTCATGTTCTTTCCTTACCGGTCGCGCCGTACGCGGAAAATAAAAACCCCGCAGAAGCGGGGTCAGGTGACCGGCTCAGGGAAGCCGGGTGAAGCTGCACAGCACGTGCTAGGTCAGCGCCGAGGCGCAAATTCCATATCGTGGGGACTTTTTACCCTTGAGTACGGAACCGAAAAGGGGGCAATTTCGGTTAACTGACTCGACGCGACTTTGACGCAACTTTGAGGACACTTTGAAGCTGTCCAGTCCGACGAGTGGCAATGTGATTCCGGGTTTCTGCACGCCGCGTCAACACTTGCAACAACCGCAGGTGCAACGCGTGTACCAGGTCGTAATACGTTTGGCGGCCAGTCGACGCAAAGCCCGCCTGATGCATCTGCATAAGCCAACTTGGCGTCGGGTCATCTCCATAACGCCGAGCTGCCAGCCGTGCCAGCCGCTCTCCACGCTCATCTTGCCGCCCAATCTCAGAAAGTGCGGCAGCGACCTCCTGAGTGACACCATCAGGACCAGCACCGGCGCCGAGGATGATGCGCGAGCCTGGGGTACCGCGAGGCGCGCAGCCACCCCATTCCATGATCGTGGCCATGGGGCTTCCCATCCCACCGCCTTCGCCGTTACAGCGGCATTGCTCACCCCAATGCTTCAACAAGGTTTCCATTTCTTCGATCATCGTCCTGATCCCCCACCCAAAACCAAACCCGACACAAAAAACTCCATACCCAACACAAACCCAACACAGCTAAAACCCTTTAAATTCAATAGCCCTAAATCAAATGTGTTTAGTGTGTTGGGTGTGTTGGGTTTAACGGTTCTCGCGTAAGAAAAAAGTCTTTTCCCCATAGATTCAAATAACGTTGCCCATGCGCGTGCGCGACGACAAACCCAACACACCCAACACAGCAGGCGCAAAGCGGCGAAATAGAAGGTTCTAAACTGTGTGAGGTATCCAAAACCAACCCGACACACACCCGACACACCCGACACACCCGACACACTATTAGACGGACTCATGCTGCAGCAGCCTTAATGTGGTCCCAGTTGTCGACGTTCCACCCCGCCAGGCGCGCCGCTGCCCGCCAGGCGACCACGGCCTTCCCCAGATCGGCCGAACTGACTGATGGGGGCTGGGAAGCGCCCTCACCCCGAGGAAAGAAGAAGGCCGCAAACTTGCGGTTGCTGCCATCCGTCCATGGGATGGCCCGGGTCTTGTCCACCTCCGAGCTGATGAAAAGCGAAAACTTGGTCTGGCTCATCACATGCTCTTTGTTGCGGTGGCACCACTCTAGGAACATCGCGTACAGGTCGCTAGACAAACAGGCGCCCCACATATCGCGCCCGAGTTCGCCGTATTGCCAGAGGAACAGGAAAGTCTGCCAGCTCGCCCTACTCAGGGCCACCAGCCGCTCGCGCGCATCAGTGCTGGGAGGCCTTGTGCGTTGATCGAAGTCGCCAAGATCAATGGACAACAACCAGGCGTATAGCGCCGCGACACCACCATTCTCCAGCTCTCGGCCCACAGCTTTTTGACGCTCTACCGGTAGCGTCTCCATTGGCCATAGAACCAACATTCGCCGATCACTCGGCGAGATGGGCCAGGGCATAATCTCGTTGCTGAGGAAGGCGGCATTCATGTGGTTGGCTTCTTCCCAACCGTTGATGAACTTCGATTCCATACGCACCGTCTTGCCAGTCACCAGGTGCTTGATCTTTCCTACCTGGTTGTAACGTTGGTCACGGCTGACTACCTCTTCGAACACGGCCCACAACTTGCGGCTTTGCCAGGCGTTGAAGTTGCTTTCCAGCTGTGTCTGCCCGACCGTGGCCGCGTATTGGCCATACAGCAGCCCGAAGGCGTCGGCGAACAGCAGGCTTTTTACCCGAGCCTTCCATAGTCGAGTGGGCTAACACCGCTGTATCCATTTTCGCGCCAAGGTGCTGCAACGGGTACGCCAACCACCGTACCAACCAATCGCTCGACGATTTGTCGTGGTTGCACAGGAAAGAGATCAACCACCGCAGATTCTCGCACGCCGCGTCATCGCGGTTCGGTTCCATGGGCAGGCCGTCGAAGGTGTTGATATAGACGTTCGGGTCTTTGGTCATCGTCGGGTCGAACACGATGTTCTCCACGTCAACCACGCGGCGATCCGGGCTGTTCAACCACATGCCGTACATATCGCCGAGGGCCATCTTGACGGCGCCCTCTGGCACACGGCGCTTCTTCTCTCGGTCCCAAACATCCTTGGTACCGTCGATATAGACATAGCGCTCGATCGGCTCAAGGTTCAGCGCCCCACCCTTCTTGCCCGCCATCTTGCGGGCCTGCTCGATCTCTTTGACCTTATCGTCCGAGATCAGCTTTTTCTGGGTGTCATCCATCCACTGTTTCGCCAGAGGTTTCCCGACACGGGCCTCAAACGCGGTTTTCTTCATCGTCCGTGCCTTGTCGAGATCCCACACTTGCGTGGTGCCCTCGACCAGTACGTACCTGCGCAGCACCTGCTCATAGGTCAACGCCTCCCCCGCCCCCCGTCAGCAGCAGGAGCGGCCTCACTGACTGGCGCGCTGGAGTCCTGCTCGCTGGCATCCGCCGATGGGGTTGGGGGAAGTTCCTGAGGGTTCGGGCGTGAGGAATGCTGCATGCCCAGCATGCGGGCGGCATCCTTCACGGCTTTCGACTGATCGCCATCGTGGCCCAGCAGGCAGAAGACTTCAAAAGCATCATTCTGGTGACCGTTGGCCAACGGATCGGCGCCGTGATGGGAATAGACCTTGCCTTCGGTGACCGTCACACCTGGTAGCCCGGTGCTGCTTTGGGGATACAACCACTTGTTACCCCGCTTGATGTAGCCGTGGGCGCGCAACAGTTCCTCAACATCGTGGCAACGATTGAACTCGTCGATCACCGACGGCTTATCTCCAGCTGGCGCTGCACGCTTGACGGGCTTCGCGGCAGGCTTCTTGGGCTTTGGCGCCCATGGGCACGCGGCCTCGGCGTTGCGCTTGAAGACGTCCCAATTCTGCCAAATGTTCAGCAGCTCATTGGTGAGAACCGGCAGGCCTTCAGCTGCGTTCGGCGGCGTGCGCCAGGCGTAGGGTTTTCCCGTGTCAGGATGGATCGATGGCGGGAAAACGTCCTGCACCAGGCCTGCACGCAATTCAAACACCGTGAAGCGCTTGTATTCCTCGGCCTCGGTTTGCGCTGCGGCCTCATCAACAGCATCACCCAGCTCTTTCGCCGCCTTAGCCCGAGCCATCAACGCCTTGTGAATCGAGCCATCGGGGTCTTTTTCATTGGGCCACGAAAGCGAGTGGCGCGTCAGCTCAATGTCGTCGGGCATCTTGAACAGCACACGGAACCGCAGCGGGTTGCCAACGATGGTCGGATAGACCACTGCCATGGCATCCAGATCAAGGCCCATCTGATCAAACAATACAAACCGCGTCCACTGCACATCGTCAACGTCCAACGAGCAAACACGGCTTGGCCCGAGCACTACGCCCAGATTGTGATTAGGATTGCGTTGCCAGAATGCTTCGGCGGCGACCGGGTCGGTGATGTAGCCGCCCGGCTTGTTCCAACCCTTACCCTTCGGACCCTTTTCGCCCGGTTCAATCGGGACCAGAGCAAGATTGAAGGTTTCGATGTAGCGGCGCGCCCAGGACGATATCGCTGTGCTGGTGGGTTGCTCGCTCATCGCCGCCGCTCCCGCAACCCCTGACAACTGACGCAGGTCGCACAACCCTGAATCGTCTGCTGACGAAGTAACGGGATAGGTTCTTCGCAATCCTCACAAATTTGAGCACTGACAGCGCTCGTTGGGCGCGGGCGGCGATCAAGGGCCACCTGTAGGAAGTACTCAGCCTGATCGTTGGCCACGTCGATGATGTCAGTCATGATCGGGCGCCTCCATAGCTTCGCGTGCGCCGGCCATGATACCCAGCACAGCACGGATCACATCGGCACCGTGTTTCTCCAACAGCTGGACTTCATGCGGCTCCCATATATTGTCGGCTGCACCGTCGTGCATGCTCGAAACAAACAGCCCAGTTTCATGCAGCACCTTGCTGACGGCAAGCAACGCTGCCTTGGTCGGTGCCGCTGCTTCAGGCTTATACCAAACCATACCGGCGGGTCGCATGAGCGCATCCAGCAGCAAAGGACTGCCTGTCAGCCGGATCAGCTCTTCAAGCTCATCAGGATCCAGCCAGCGCTGTTCAAAGTCGTGCTTAACCTTTTTCTGCAGACTGTCGTAGTCCATCACCATGTCGAGTGCCAAGGCAGTGACACCGCCCTTGTAATCATGGGCTGCGCGATAGATGGCTTTGCGAAGTGAAAGAACCGGCGCAGTGGCCGGCGATTGCTCTGTTCGACTCATAACCGTAAATACCCCTTTTACGGTCTAGTCATAGAAACGGGCACGCCCTATCCTACGACCACGACCGATGTGCATGTGCTGTGTATCGTCGTAGCCGGGCTGGGGATCTTTGGTGAGAGGCCCCAGTCCGGCACCCTTTATGCAGCTCTGGGCTTGCGGCGCGATCCGATTGGTCGAATTTCCACCGCAAAACACGCCCCTTTCTCATCAACTCGCACTCGGATATCCCGCGCTGAGTTCAGCATTTGAGATACCGCGCTTTGCGAAACCCCGATGAGTAAAGCCAGCTCTGGTTGAGTCTTCCCCTCAGCGAAATCTTCCAAGGGAATACCTATTTCATTAGCCATCCACGTTTCCTCGAATGGGCGTTTCGGCATGGATATTAGTGTTACTTCTTTTTAAACAGCAAGAGAAAAAAGTCGCAACACTGTTTTGATAATATAAGTCTTCCTTATAAATTGGGCGACATGACTATCTCGATACCCTTAGCTGCCGATGACGAGACCCGAAAAGCCGAGGCTATGCGCCTTAAAGCTATTTTTCAGGATCGCAAACGGAATGACCCGACCCTAACTCAAGACAAAATCGCCGATCTCTGCGAATGGTCTGGACAAAGTGTCGTCAGTCAGTATTTGAATGGGCGCATCCCCCTCAACATCGGCGCCCTCATAAAGTTCGCGAACGTTTTGGGCTTTTCGCTCGACGAAGTCAGCCCGCGGTTGGCTGCCATAGCGCAGATGCCCCGCTTGCGGAATACGGAAGAACGCCAAAAAACGCCAGCAAGCAATGACTGGGAAATCCACCCGATTGAAGTATGGGATGACGAAACTCCACTCGGCCCGGACGAGGTCGAGCTGCCATTTTTCAAAGAAGTGGAATTATCTGCCGGCAAGGGATCTGAGGTGATGCTTGAAACAAACGGCCGCAAGCTGCGATTCGGCAAACGAACTCTGAAACGTAAGAGTATTGATCCGGACGCTGCTGGCTGTGTGCCGGTAACTGGGAACAGCATGGAGCCCGTGCTACCGGATGGCAGTACCGTCGGGGTCGACACCGCAAATACGACCGTCCAGGACGGCAAGATGTATGCAATCGACCATGACGGCCAACTGCGCGTGAAGCTGCTCTACCGCCTGCCTGGCTCCGGCCTACGCCTTCGCAGCTATAACACTGATGAGCATCCTGACGAGCGCTACGAAGGCGACTACGTGCAGCAGCATATTCGTGTGATTGGAAAAGTGTTCTGGTACTCCGTAATGCTCTGACGCTCCCGCAAATCGAAAAGGCCCGCAGGGTCTTTTTTCGCCTGCTAATTTTATTTCCACCATTTATAAGTGTTACTGTTGACTTATTAAATCAGTAATACTAATTTTGCACTGGTATCAACCTCTCACCAAAGAGTACGAGCCATGCAAACAACACAGCACAGCACCACCCGCTGCCCGGTGTATCTACACCCGGCAGCAGCCACCAGTCCATTAGCCGTCGAACGTATCCAGCGCAGCACTGGCCTTCTGGTCATCGTCAACCTGGGACGCGTCACCATGGCGCCCGCCCCGGCCGTAGCCCCCCACCGATGACCTGGGTTTACGGGGAGGTGATGCAGCATGAAACCTATTCTGATTGGCCTCACCGGCCGCGCTCGCTCTGGCAAGGACCCACTGCCGCCGAACACTTGGCGCGCACTTACCTGCTGGAGCAATACGCCTTCGCCGACCCGCTTCGTGATGGACTGATGGCGATCTTCAACCTCGATCCGACCGACTTTGAGGGCGACCGCAAAGAGCAGTCGCTCGGCTGGCTGGACCGCTCGCCGCGCCAACTTATGCAGTCGATGGGCACCGAGTGGGCACGCAACACCGTGCACCCGGATGTGTGGGTGAAGCTCGCGGAGCAGAACCTCGACTATATGAGTAATGCACTGGGTGCCGTTCTCGGATTCGTTGTCAGCGACGTACGCTTCGAAAACGAAGCAGAACTGATCCGCCGCAGGGGCGGGACGGTCATCCATATCATCCGGCCCAATGCCCTCACGGTGAACCCACACATCAGCGAGGCCGGTATCGCGGCTAATCCCGCCGATTTGACGCTGCCCAACTATGGCACGGTCGAGGCCTTCCTACGCTCGCTGGACGAGGTGTTCCTGACTATTCGCCGCCTGCAGCAACAGTCCGAACATATCTCTGCCTGAGGCCCGCCGTCATGAACCGCACCCTGGATCAAACAGCAACTTTGCTCGGACTCAAGCCCCGCGCCTTCCGCACCAGGTTGCGGGAACTCCGGCGTACTCAACTCTTCCGGCGACTTGGCCAGCGCGCATCGCGACCGTGGCCACCTCTTTTCAGACCCGCGCAGCCGCTGGAATCCAACGCTGGCAACTACACCCACTACGCAGTGGTGATGGTGAAAGAGTCGGGCGTTGAGTGGATCGCAAAAAAGCTAGACATCGTCATCACCAAAAAGGACGCCGCAGCATGAAGCCGAACGCCATCAACTCCGCTGTAGGCGCCCTAAAGCTGGTGCCTATGTTCCTTAATCACCCAACAGTGATCAGCCGCGCCACTCTGATTGGCGCTTCATCGGAAGCCGTCGAGCTACTGGAAGCGCTGCCTTGCGTGTCGGTCGAGCTGGCCGAAGTCTTCCGCTGCGTAGACGCCGTGATCTCCGAGGGCCAAATCGCCTACGTAACCCCGGTCAAGTGCCCGGAATACCCTATGGCGCCGTTGTCGCGGATGCCAAGGGCAACGTTCTGGCCGCTGCCAAGGGCAAGAGCAAGAAGGTCTAGCCGAACTCATCCGCCTCAAGTTGGTGCCCCGAAAGGAGGGCATGGGGAGGAATTCGCGTGACCACCACCCTGGAACAACTCCGACGCCAGTTCGCCACACCATGCCCGACCTTGACCGCCGTGCGTGAGCAGTACTTCACGCACATCCGCACTCGACCGCTACCTGCTGAGCGAAATCAAGGCGAGGGAAGATCCAGCTGGTGGTCAAGCGCCTGCACTGCTCCGCCCGCGCCAGCCGGTCGTTTACCTGCACGACCTGGCCGACTACCCTCGACGCCCAGGCGACGAAGCAAGCAGCTTGATTAAACGGCAGTTCCTGCCGACCAGGGTAAACAGCAACTCATCACTGAGGCACAGCACATGAAAGCCACCTCAACACCGCCGAGTTTATTAGCGAACTCCAACGCAGGCGTCTTGCGCCAACCAACCGGCACGCACTCGAAGTCGCGGCCGGCGTGGTCCGACAACAAGAAGGTCGGCACCGTAACGCTCACCTTCACCCTGAAGCAAATCGCCAGGACGTTACCAGGTCACCGTCAACCTACAGCTCGCCTACAAGGTGCCAACCAAACGTGGCAGCCGCAGCGAAGGCACCACCCCTCGACACGCCGTGCATGTCGGTTCGTGGTTGCCCTTACGCTGTTCCCAGACGCCTCACGCGGACCAGATGTTTAGCCGAGACGAGGCCCCGATTCACGCCAAGTCCCACGCATCACCGCTCCATACCTCTCACACAATGAATAGATCCAATGGAAGCTCGTGCAATTCAACTGATTCAAGACACCGCCCTGCTCGCCTACGCCAAACCGCTGCACCACGCCTAGTTCTCGCGCTTAAGCCGATCGACGTCAAGATCCAGAGCATCGAAAAGTTTCCAGGAGCTGGCGTAGCCGCTTTCGTGGCTCGCTGACCACCCACTCGCTGAAGACTTCGCCGACTACGTAGTCGCTTCAAAAGGCCCAGTTGCCGTGGGCTTTGTAGACGGTGACGCCATGGCTTGCACGGTGTACTTCAACCCGGTGATGCTGCGAGAACCCTGGGCACGACGACTACACCGCGACACTGGGCCTGAAAAAGACTGCAGCGTTCCTCGCGCGAAAAGTGCGGCACAACGCCAGCACGCCCAGAAGGATCTCAGCGACTGGATCGAGGACTGGGCCTCGAACCTCAAAGCCCTGGACGCTCGACATGACAAAGCAAATCGACCAGCGTAGCAGCCGGAGCGATTCAGCTCGCATCAGCATCGAGCAAGCACGAAAGAGCGAACACGTAGTTGGCGCATGAGCAGCCTCCCGTTCCGGCGATGGATCAGATCGAGGCCAAGTCAGCGGAAGGCCTGCCGGCTGAATTCCTGTTCACCGTAGCTGCTTACGAAGGGCTGATCGCACGCACCATCCGCTTGCGGGTAGCAACTGACTGGCGGCGATAAGCCCGCACTTCGCCTGCGTTGGATTGGCGGCCACAACTGCGCGAAGACCTGCGCGCAAGAGTTCTGCCAAGTCGTTCAAAAAGAGGTCGGCGGTTCCGCGACCTTGACGATCGGCACATTCAACCGGGTTAACCACCTGCAACACCCCGTCGCCGTCCTCTCACCAAAACTGTCCGGCGGCGGGCTCAATTTGAGGTCACAGCACATGCACTCAACACAACTTATCGTCATTGCAGTCGGAACGCTGCTCGGTTTTGCAGCCCTGTTTTTTTATATCCGAAAGGCGTTAAAACGCGCATTGAAACGCAGCTATCAGCGGGGCGTGGATAACGGAAGGACGTTCCAGCTCTGGAGAGTGGAGACATTGAACCTTGACCTTCATCAAGCGGAAATCACCCACCAGACCGAAATAGCGAAACTCAACGAAACCATATCGAGTTTTCAGGTGCGTTTGGGGGCCCCATGTAACCATCTCCGACCATCAGCTATTGGAAGAGGTCAGGCAGTACTCTCGACCTCGCTTTAAAAACTTGGCGCCCACTCAAGGGTTCTCAACCCGTCCAGGATAGGACCAGCGCTCAGATACTTAACCTGAAAAATCTAAGCACCCGAATTTTAACCTAGGTCGAGCCAGTCCCCGTTAAATCGCTGGAGCATGCAGCATGACCTGGATCCTTACCTGCACAGCGGCCAGCAGTTCGACCTGCTGCGGCCAACCGCCGGAATGATTAAACCACTGGATATCGCTCACGCATTGTCGAACCTGTGCCGTTTCAACGGCCACACCCGCACGCACTACAGCGTGGCGCAGCACAGCTGATCGTCGCCAGCCTGGTACCCGCCAAGCACCAGCTCGCTGCGCTACTGCACGACGCAACCGAAGCCTACGCTTGGCGACATGACACGCCCACTCAAGACCGTGTTGCCTGAATACAAGTACATCGAACACCAGATATGGCTCGCGGTATGCGAAAGATTCAACATCCTGCCCGACCTACCTGCCTGCGTGAGTTTCGCGGACATGGTGGCCCCTAGCTACGGAACGCCGCGATCTCGATGCCAGAGCATCCAGGCGCCTGGGACTGTCTGCCCGGAGTCCCGCCAATGACCGAAACCATTATCCCACTGCCGGCGGTATACGCATCACAGGCATTTTTCTCGCAGCTGATGGCCCTGATGCAGAGCAATCATCGCCAGAGGTATACGGCATGACTAGCGACCACATTGACGAAAAGAAACTTGAGCGTGCGATCCGCAAGATAAAGCACTGCCTGGCACTAGCACAGAGCGCCAACGAGAACGAAGCTGCAACCGCACTACGGCAGGCACAGGCATTGATGCGCGAGTACGCAGCTGACCGAAATGGATGTGAAGTTAAGCGACGTCGGTGAAGTTGAGTCCGCCCTGTACCGCGCCAGCGTCGACCCGCATGGGATCAACAGTTGAGCATCGCTGTGGCAGACGCATTTGGCTGCACGACCCTGCGGCACAGGAAATGGAGCCGGTCGAAAGGAAAAATCATCGAGTCCGCGACATTCGTCGGCGTCTCCGCCCAGAATATCGCCCTGTACGCGTATGAGGCGTTGCACACCCAGCTCACGCAAGCCC